GAAGTCTATGGAATCCTGGAGAATCCTATGGAATCCTAGAGAATCCTGGAGAATCCGAAGGAATCATAGGGAATCCTTGGAATCCAGGAGAATTCAGGATTCCAGGATTCTGTGCTTTCCCCCTTGGCTTCACATCTGGCAAAAAGGTGAGAAAAGAGTGGGAAGAGGATATCCTTAATGATTCTAGCATTAAAAAAAATTTGTTTTACTGAACGTAGTCTTCTATATACTTTTGTACATAATTTTATCAATCAGTATCCAAAACAGCTTATTTCTGAGAGATTTTCTATAACTAAAAGTATTTATTAAAATAATTTTAGTAAGTTCAAACAATGTCGAGTTTAAAAATTAAAAATCTTTTATACTAATCGTTTAGCTAAAGAACAACAACGTATTGAAGACGAAAGAAATGAAGATAGTGCTCAACGACATACCTCACATTGGGTCAAAATACAGAAGAAGGTAACTAAATGTTCATATAAGAAATAATCTAATTTTTTAAAAGAAAAAAATGAAAGAAATTGCTGCTGTTTTTGATATTCAATTCTCTTATTTAGATGATGCGACAATCTTCCTTTGATTCTGATGTAGAACATGAAACAGAACAATCAACAGCACAATATCCATTAATTGATGTTCAAATTGATACGACACAACGTTTTTTTATTGGAAAAGATTATTCAAATTCATATAAGAAAGATTTTGAATTTTTGGAAAAATATAATGAGGGTATTCTATTAATCATTCTTGTTTGAAGGAGTATAGATATTATAAACGTAACTATCTGTTTTAGATTATATTGAACGTGATAAAAATCCTCGTATGCCGTGGCATGATGAAGCACTAGTAGTTCTAGGTGAAGTAGCACGAGATGCAGCAAGACATTTTATTCAAAGATGGAATATTCATAAGGTATTTATATAATACTGTCTATTGTTAAAGAAAAAAATGAGTATTATACATTTGTATCATTATTAGTGTGAACTAGGTCTAAATGATGGTTCAACACCATTTTTATTACCAAAAAGCTATGATGATAAACACGAATTAAATGATATTGATTGGAAATCTTTTCTTGATTCAACTCCTATTCAAGTTGATGCACAGGTAATTGACAAAATATTTTACGAATATAAAATGTAAAATGATAGGAGATAAAATTGTTGCTCGTTAAATAATAGCCGTAGCATCTCATAACTTTAGAGTTTTCTATTTCAGTTCGAGTTAGAAAACTGTACTGAGTGATGTTTCTTCAGCACATGACTCATATGAGAAATTCAACTCGATAAATAACATAAACCTCTGAATGGCTCGAAATTCTAGTGTAGCTTATTAAATCCCTGATTTGTCTGATACAATAAAGAAGATGGCTCCTTCTATCACTAAAGTGAGTTTACCATTTGGTACTATTACAAATTGTCATAGATTATGGGCAGATTCATTTCAAATTTTTTAAGATTTACCACATCCACAAGAAATAGTTCGTAGACGTAAAATAGTTGAAGAAATTTCTCAAACTTCATATCAACGGAATAAAAAAAATAAAGTTGGTTTAGAGTTGCTGAAAAGTGATTTTTCGTATTCAGCACACTCGATAACCTAGAAGATTTTCTATTTTTGGCTCGGGGTACTTCCAAAAGTTTAAGAAAAATTTTGAAACAAAATGGCGCAAAAAGTTTTCCATGGAAAAATAATATTAATTTGAAAACTTTTCCTAAACTTTAGGAAGTACCTCGAGTCAAAAACAGAAAATCTTCTGGATTATCGAGTGTGCTGAATACGAAAAATCACTTTTCAGCAACTCTAAACCAACTTCATTTTTTTCCGGTTATATGTCTATCAATATTCAATATCAATTTGCAACGAATCTGCATAGATCTACTGTCCGTACCAAAAAGCAGTGTCCCTGGCTATTTTACGAATAACTTTTGATAGAAGAGTGTCAGAGACTTATGGTTTCCAGTTTTTGAATTTAGACACTTGAAGACGTCTTTTAGCAGGGTTTTTTGACCTTTTACCTGCATAAATTAAAAACTCTAGCTCGGGTCATTTCAACTTCAATATGGTACTCAGAACTTTCAAAAGGTACTCAGAACAGGTCAGGAATTATAAATCAAGCAATAAAAACTGCCTGAAACTGTACTG